TTGTTACTATTTGTGTCGCACCGCACCAGACTATCACCATTCGGAATCTTAGTAAATCATTACATTATTTTAAAATAGAAGGAAACATGCGAACCAGTCAGTCTCGAACTAAAAATGGAGGACAAATAGTCAACGGGGTTAAATTTTGAAGTCTTTTAAGTTTTAAGTAAGCAATACAAAGGCAAGTTTGATTAGCAACCTAGCTAGCTTTTCATCACATCGATAAATGATGTATACCGTTCAAATCGTTATCAGTCGTAAAACTAAAAATATTTAACAGTAACATAATTTATTTCTTACCTTTCCAACTATTTTGCTATTTTTTCGTTATTAACTTTTGACCGATTAATGTTAGTAATCAAAATCTGTTTGTTTAATGTGTGGATTAAGATTTTTCAGAACTTAGAGAATTTAAAGTTAACATTGTACATTTCCGAATTCAAATACAAATGTGCGTTTGAAAGTAAATGGTTATAGTTGAACACTATTATATATGAACATTATTCAATACTGGTTTAAGACCTAAAGTATGAAACATATATTTTGATACAAAATCCAACCATATCAACAAATAATGAAAATTTTGAATGAGAGTTTACGTTTGCAAAAATTAATCGATCCCTTTTTCTTTTTATTCTTGTAGGCATAAAACAAAACAAATAATAGCACGATTTAACTTTTATATACAATGATTAGCCTCAAAAACAAGTTCTCGCTGGGGTGTACCATTTGCATCGTGAGATTGAAACCATTCAAATCAAGATTGCCAAATCTAGATAATCATTTAATAAAACACTCAATATGTATTATATAAGGATAATGTTTACACTTGTTGTTCATCACTGACCACGTGAAAATGGTCCTAGAGGAAAAAGGTGTGGGCAGTTATGTGAATGCAATGAGCTTGAAGGTTGACTCTTGTAGATTTGCTTTTACAATTTGGTCTCACTTTAGATTATTGTAACCGCGTCAGAGTCCAAATAATTGTCTTCGTTTACTTAATTTATTTATATATAAATGAAGATAAAATGTCGGTCTTTTTTTTTTTTTGAACAAACACAAACCCTTCATTAACTTAAACTTGGTAAAGACAGTCATGATCAAACAGAGCATCCTTTGCTAAGGAGTCCGCGATAGTGTTCTTAATACGAGGGATAAACGAAAAGCAGATAGACTCAAATCGTAAAGATAGGAGGGAAATGTCATGGAGAATTCCATGAAGTTTTGTAATCTTAGAACCAAAGTTGATGGCTCTAACCAATTGAAAGGAGTCGGATTTTACCGACAGAGACCTTAATCCTTCTTGAACCGCCTGATGTAAGGTCGCCCTGATAGCCAAGCCTTTGGCTACTAATGGTGAGGAGACAAAAGTAGCGCATGTAGAGAAACTGCGAAGAGTTCCTGTCAATTGGCTACATAGCATCCACCCTAGTCCTGCTAGTTTCAAGTCTTCTCTCCAAGCTGCATATGTGTGACATGTCACCTCCTGTATTTCTGCAGAGGAAATCGAAGTCACCATAGACTCCTTGATCTTGGATTTACACTCATTTCCTATCGCCCATTCTTTAGCACTAGATATTGCTCTAGTGATAATATCTCTGGTTGGCATGACTTTCTTGTTAAAGGTCAGTTCATTTATAGCCTTCCATAGGTGCCAGCAGATCCAAGGTGCAATGAGGCCTGATCTGAGACTTGTAGGGGGCAGACTGCATCTGTTATATACCTGTTTCCACAGGTCATCAAATTCCAGGGGGAGATTTGCTTAAGAGACTGGGTAAATAGGAGCATTCTCCCACACCTGAACCGCCTGGTTACACTGGAATAAAACATGAGTAATTGACTCAGCTTCTCCACATGATAGGCAAAGGGAGTTAGCATCTGGTATTCTTGCTGCTAGTTTCAAGCCCACAGGGAGTGCTCCACTAGCCGCTTTCCATAAAAATATCTTGATCTTAGATGATGTATTCAGGGACCAGATCTCCTTTGTCCAGTTCAGAGTACTCTTGGTCTTTGGAAAGGGAAGGTTGCTATAGGCTGCATAGTACCCCGACTTTGTTGTATATTCTCCAGAGGCCTCTTTGAGCCAAATGAGCTTATCTTCGGCACCAAAGGTACTTGGTTTGATGTTGAGGATGTCCTCTTCCAAGTGAGGGATCAATTGTCTGATTAACCCACAATTTCATTCTCTTTTATCTGAGAGTAGTTCAGCAACCATTAGAGTATCATGATCCGGTAGCCATGGCCCGTACGGGGCTTTCTGCTCGGATGGGGATAGCCAGTTATCCTGCCTAATGTTCACTGATTTTCCATTCCCTATCACCCATCCTAGGTTAGTTTTAAGGAGGTCTCTACCAGCTAGAGGGGCAGACGCAATCCAGGAATTCTTTCTT